CTGAGTAAGGATACTTACCTAAGATAACATATGAGTGACTCCATTGTTCCCATTCTCTGGCTCTACTGAAAAAGGATACTTACCTAAGAGAACATATGAGTGACTCCATTGTTCCCATTCTCTGGCTCTGCTGAGTAGGGATACTTACCTAAGATAACATAGTAGTGACTCCATTGTTCCCATTCTCTGGCTCTACTGAATAAGGATACTTACCTAAGATAACATATGAGTGACTACATTGTTTCCATTCTCTGGCTCTGCTGAGTAGGGATACTTACCTAAGAGAACATATGAGTTACTCAATTGTTACCATTCTCTGGCTCTGCTGAGTAGGGCTACTTACCTAAGATAACATAGGAGTGACTCCATTGTTCCCATTCTCTGGCTCTACTGAATAAGGATACTTACCTAAGAGAACATATGAGCGACTCCATTGTTCCCATGCTCTGGCTCTGATGAGTAAGGACACTTACCTAAGATAACATAGGAGAGTGACTCCATTGTTCCCATTCTCTGGCTCTGCTGAGTAAGGATACTTACCTAAGATAACATAGGAGTGACTCTTTTGTTCCCATTCTCTGGCTCTACTGAGTAAGGATACTTACCTAAGAGAACATAGGAGTGACTCCATTGTTCCCATGCTCTGGCTCTGATGAGTAAGGACACTTACCTAAGAGAACATATGAGTGACTCCATTGTTCCCATTCTCTGGCTCTGATGAGTAAGGACACTTACCTGAGATAACATATGAATGACTCTATTGTTCCCATGCTCTGGCTCTGATGAGTAAGGACACTTACCTGAGATAACATAGGAGTGACTCCATTGTTCCCATGCTCTGGCTCTGCTGAATAACGACACTTACCTGAGATAACATATGAGTGACTCTATTGTTCCCATGCTCTGGCTCTGATGAGTAAGGACACTTACCTAAGAGAACATAGGAGTGACTCCATTGTTCCCATTCTCTGGGTCTGCTGATTAAGGATACCTAAGACGACATCGTTGTGACGCCATTGTTCCCATTCCCTGCCTCTGAAGGTTTTTGTTATGTAGACACCACCAGTCAGGAAATACATTTGCCACTGCCCAAGAAACCTCTAGCAAGATCTTGAAGATCCATGGTTTAGATATGCTGGGATAAGTCACGTATCCCTTGATTCTATGATGTGGGTCATGGTGAGAAAGACAACTAACACAGTTAGGAAGCTTAGGGTGACACAGGCCAAAAATACCTTTCCACTAAAGCACTGTGAAGGACAAGAAGCTTGTTTAGAGCATCAATGGGCCCATGCGTCCTGTTGCAGTCTGTTGCATTGCTGCACACGTGTCAGTACACACATAAGGGTGTAGTGCAATAAGGTAACTTATTAATTTGTATAGGCTAATTTAAAATGTAAGGTGTGTGTGTGTGTGATGAATAGCAATCAGCCTTTCTTTTATTGCTGGATAATATATAGACTAGGGTTCCAGGCCCGGGCTCCTAAAACCAGACACACAACCTTTTCTAGTAAACATCGATTCCCCAGCAGGGGAAAGCCATCTGACATAACAGACACGGCTCTCTGTATCAACCCCTGGCACAGGACTCTGGAGGCCCCTCAACAGAATGACTGGCAGATGATGTCATACAGATAATCTCTGGGTGTAATACTCTACAAGACAAACTATGAAAGTGAAACAAAACACAGCAAGGCTGGTAGGGAAGTGGGAACACATGCTTACAATTCAATTGTGTGGCTCTTACAATGAGGAATGATGACGGTATTACCATAGCACCCCATACTGGAGCAGATTTTGTCAGTAAGGGGGCTGTAATAGCTCTCAGCTGGCATCGCATAGAATATGAGTGCCATCAACACACCTTTAATCCTAAAAGAGGACTTCAGTTTTAGTAAAGTTGCCCCTACCCGAGTCTGCCTGGTTAAAGGAGAACTATGAGGGGGGGTGCTTTTCACTCACCTCATAGTTCTAGCCGACCTGTGACAATGAGACTGTCACAGGTCGGCTCAGTAGATCGCGAAGTGAGCGAACACATACCGGTGTTCCCTCACTTCTCGATCCTGTCACGGCTCTCTGCCGTGACAGGGAAGGGGCTGGATTCCCCCTCCCCGCTACGATCCGCCAGCGCTGACTGGCGGAACGGACAGGGGAGGGGGCGGGTACAGCTGGCTCTGCCTCTAGATAGGCAGAGCCAGCTGTCAGTCATGCAGCTGGGCGGATCCCGGCATAATTGTCGGGATCCGCTTCCGCTGCGGCGTCTCAGTATACCGTGAGCAGCAGCTCGCGGTATACTGCGGCGTCTCAGTTTACGGCTAGCTACAGCTCATGGTATACTGAGCCTAGGGTGACAGGAGGATGCTAGTTTGTGTCCTCCCGTTACCCTAAGGAGAACTATGGGGAAAAGTCTTAACCCCATAGTTCTCCTTTAAATACTTGCCTTCATCCCCAATCCTTGAGTTGCAACTATACAGTTCTGCCCATTGCCGCACAACCTCTTCAAAGAAACATCCCAGCCTACTGCACATGGCCCCATTCATTGCTATTGGGTTAACAGTTCTCATGGTGGCCTCCATCTATCCAAAAGAGTTAGTGTAAAATTCTGTCTCTCACAGATCATCTTTCCTCCTCTTGCCATATTACCTACCGGAACCCTACACTGAATGGTACAGGGAAGATTTAAAAAGCGTTTGCATACAATAGATTCTATAGTAACATAATGGAGATCTGCCTAAAAACTACCTTCAGAAGCCAAAAACTCATCAGGGTAATGACATGTTTTACACGACAAGCCTGTAAATAGCAAATAGCCATGTTTCTGTGTTTTCAGATGATTCTAAAATCGGGAGGGTAATAGACACGAACGTAGACATTATAACATTACAGGAGGACCTGGATAAAATATTATATATATAAATATCCATATACCAATAATACAATAAATAAACTTTTTACTCTAAACTCCCTAACAAAGACTAGAGGCCACCACCTAAAATTGGTGGAGAAAATATTTAACCACAAAGGGCGTAGGGGATTCTTTTCAGTCAGATTGGTTACATTTTTAAACTCTCTACCACAAGCAGTGGTATCAGCTGAGAGTGTTGAATCATTCAAAAATCAATTAGATACCATCCTCCGAGACCATAACATACAGGGATACAGGTACTCTTAAAAACTAAGACCACGCAGGGACTCGTATGCACACATGCACACACAACACACACACAGACACGCAAAGGTTGAACTCAAATACTATGTAACTATGTAACTAGGTAAGTGTATACAAGTGGTAGATGATCACTTTAATCATCATTAGGGTATTCACCAACACACCAATCATGTAACACATATTACCCAGCAGTCATTTTAAAGAGAATGATTTCCTTCTGCCTGTTGTAGACTGATGACATCATTATACCTGGGTGCATCTTGGCACAACTGTTATTCTGGAGCTTAGGAACTGATTATTAATGCAAGTCAGGTTAAATGCCAGCTCCGGGCACCTTTTTGTAGACCATTCAACTGTTACATAATTTTTTACTTCTGCCGCTGTTTTTTTTTTTATTGTGCTACCCGCTGTAGAAAAACGCACAATAAGGTACACTTCTGACTCCTTGCCAAACATGGTTTACAGTGGGCAACACAATCAAAAGAGCCACAGTTGAAAGGTCTTATAAATGGAAGGTGCCTGGAGTGGGGATTTAATTCTGACATAAATAAACTCCTTCATATATTCTCCAACAGTAGGAATACAACATTCCCTCTGTATTTAAGATTCATAGAGATACCGTGAGATCAGAAAGCTCCTCTCACTTCTTCTGGGTGCCGTGGTGATCCTTTTTGGATGATGGATGGCGGTCACCTCAAGCGGCATCTTATTGGTGGGGGGGTGGCCACAGCGTCCCAGGTTGCTAAGAGCTCTAAGTAACCTGTAACACTTTGTCCGCCTTCCTGCCCAGGTCACTGACATCATTGGTTGCCAGGAAGCTGAGCGGGACACTCTGACTGGGGACCAGCTGAGCTCCCGGCAATGGATGGCGTCATTGAGACAGAGAGCCACTGACAGCACAGCTGTAACACAAAGCCCGTCTCATCACAGCCATGTCCGTCTTCCCCCAGGATGACCGCTATCAGCAAAACCCCATATCCCACATGTCCCCCCGGGAAGCACTATCATCAATGCCACCACTACCCCCGCTCTATAGCCTCAGGCGGCATATAGGATAGGGACGGCCCTGGGTGCCGTGACTGTAAAAAGGTTGACTTAAGACTGTGCGTATCATACTCTTCCTTAACACCATGCACAGCTTTAAGGCATTCCCGAAATCTGCAATTTAAAGGATTGTTGCTCTCCCGATTGTTGTTAAGAAGAAAAACGATTGGAACACATCCCCATGTTTGTTTGCTTGCCTATCAGCCATAAAAATCGCCAGAACGTAGGATTTGCCCCCCTGTAGACTTTAGCGGGATTCCGTGCTAACTTCATATTTTCCAAATTCCTAACATGATGTGCTGGACCCTCGGTAAACTGAACCCAAGCAGATTCGCTCATCACTTATAATAATCTAATAATAGAAGTAGGGATGGTTCTTTTTCACACCTAAACTTGTACCTTCAGCAGTCCCTTTTGTCTCAGTAAATTATATAAGATTTGGTGTTTTCACTGCTACAGACATTTCGTGACCGGCTGTAAGTACCTATATAAAGCACACCTATAGAGATTGAGTCCTATAGAGTTCAGCCCTTTCACATGACTGGCCGCTGCAGAAAAGGATTTGTTCCAGTCTAGGTAATGCGTTCGGGTGCTGATGGAAGCAAAAAAAACCTCACACAGAAAAACTGAACAATCCCCAATATAATAAAGGGGAAAAAAGCTATTCATCCTGATTACTGGTCTACACGTTAACACGTGAGGATCTGTGCGGGGTATATAAGGGTCGTTCTCCCCACAGCCATGTACCAGCGCAGACAAACGAGAAGCCACTGACAAGAAGAGCAAAATGGGAAAGGTAAGGAGGACGTATGAGGATTGCTTTACCAAGAAGAAACAAACCTTTAACCACAGGAAGCTTGTGAGGTTTTGGTACATGGCAAATGCTAGGAGAAACCACATTGGCTTTCCGCTCTGCATACCCTGTATGGACAGGGCCGCCTCTACCCTATATGCCACCTGAGGCAGTAGGGCGGGGGGGGGTGAGGGTTGGTGGTGCTGCTGATAGTACTTC